ATAGATATTAAACTGGTTTCACAAAAGTATACAAAAAAAAAAAAAATCAAAACCCAAGTTTGCCACTAACATTCTTTAAAGTAGAAGTACTACAGAAAAAAATTGTCAGAACTAAGATGAGATTCAGAATTTGAAATAGCTATTATATAAGATAACAAACAATAGAAACATGAAATTAAGTTTGGAAGTTTTTAAACATTTATCAAAACAGCAATATATTCTGAATAACAAAAAAATTTAAACAATATATAATGCTGTATGTTTTAAACCTTCTGAAAACGAGGTAATGCCCACAAGAAAATAAAAAAATTCCCCAAACAGCCATATGACAGGTGATACAAACTGCCTTAGAACTGTTGATCCATAAATAATATTCATTGTTTCCCAAATTCTATCAGCGTATTAGATCCTTTTTTCTTACTGGGGAATTGAACACGGTATTGCCTGTTGCCAATGGATTAGATCCATTTCACAATAACTACACAGGAGAACTTTAAAGAATGATACTGAGTTGATGAGCATTGTGATAGTCTGCTTTGTATTTGTCTTTGCAGGGTTTATTTTATCAGAAGTATCATTAACTCTGAAGTCTGACTCTTCTACTGGCCTTTGGTATCTTCTGTTTTTCATTTGACTTTCAAACACTGTCAGCAAATTCTTCTAACAAGTGCAAGTCTCTGTTGTTCAACACTAACATGCTCGAGTCCACTTATAATAAATGTTTTTAAAAATAGAAGGGAACATGACTGTTTTTCATTACTGTCACACTGTGTAGGGAGAAACAGCTTATTGTGGAAAAGAAAAAAAAAAAGCCTCCACAGAGCATCTGAAAATTGTCAATTACACAACCAGTATGCATTAATTGGCTCGCACTTAGGGAAGGTACACAAGCTTCCCCTGTGAAGATAACAGACGTTCAGTTTCTGTCTTCAGCCTTTTAAAACTGGGAGAAGAGAAGGTTAGGAGTAGCCTGTCAGTTCCTGCCTTTGAGCACTGAATTATTAATTTACACAAAAGACTACATTAAAAATGCCATTAAAACAACCCAAAGCAGCACACTGATAGTTTAAAGGGGAAATTCACGCTTCAGTAATCTGTCAAAACCAATATATGCTGTTTAAACATAATTTAATTTTCTTTCTCATTGTTTTGTTTGCCACTTCCTGATCATCTAAGATGTCTGTCGAGGTCTGTGTTTGGTACCTTTATGGTTCATCCTACTGCTTGTGCCAGAGATTGAGTAAAAATTACTTGGAAACCTCACAGGACACTTGCAAGACAGCAGGCTAATGACTTTCATAGAAGTCTGTAATTCCACTGCAAGACCAGGCAGACTGAAAGCCAGCAAAGGAAACACCTCTTATACATCTTTGAAGACAGGAAAGTGAATAGAAAATATTACTAGTAATCTAAATTTTCTCATTGTGAAAGCATTTTGTCTCTTTAAATGTGGGCTCCTGTAAAATTCTCCTATGTTTTAACCCATCAAGTTTCATTCCCTACACTGAAAAGCAAGTTATTTTTCTGCAGTCTACTGCAGTATATTAAACACAGAACTAGTGCCAGAAAGGGTAAACTCAGGATTTCAAGACCTTATCAACCACTTATGTTGCACTCACATCTCCAGAACTTGGTAGAGAATCAGATGTAATTTGGAGCATACTTTTTAGAAAGAATTGGTATTTTAGCCTGACATGAATACATGTATAATGATTCTTAGTTGACTGTTGTTCTGAGAGGCACTTGTCAAACCGGCAATCATAGTCCCATGGAAGGACATATCTTCTTCTTGTCTAAGTGAAGACAATTTCGATACCAATACAGGATTAGTCCTTTTTGGGATGGCATGTCAAAGTATTAATCAAAAAAAATCAGGATTTGGCTGAGTCAAAAAATAGTTGCAAAATTGGACCACATCAGCAAAAGATATGTTCTGTTTCATCCAGCTGAGAGATGGGTGCAGCATTCAGAAACATAGAATGAAGAAAGAGATGAGCGTACTCTGGTTTCTACTCCTTTATGCTCTAGTCCAGTTAAGGAAGATTTACTGAATGCAGGTACCTTTAACTGTTTGCCTAAACCTGATGGTGAGTCAAATCCAGGCACAGCACTTGAGTTTGATCCTTGCTTTTCCTTGGGAAGTCTGTGAATCACTAGACTAAAACACATTCAGAGGCAGACTTCTCTTGAGCTGTGCTGTTTGCATAAAATACCAGTGTAATAGTGCTAAGAGGAAGGACAGAAAAAAAAATGAAATCCCTTGCATCCAGCAGGACTATCTTTACCCTTATACTATGACAGTAAATCAGAAAAACTGTACCACCTCCACTTTACTAGCATCTGTTAACTTTGGTTAAAATCCAACTCTCTCCTCTGTTTGTTTTTGCTGTTAAAATTATATAAAGTGAAAATAACTTTTTTGTTTTCATGGAAAAAACCCCTCATGTTTTCAATTTGAGATTTTTTTTAAAATTACAGAAACTAACCCAAAAAGTCACTTCACATATTCCTAGCAGTGACTGGTTCCATTTTTTCCCTCTTCATCTTAATAGAGAGATCCTTAAGATGTCTCTATTACCATATTGAAAGCTTACCTTACAATTTTAAGTGAGGACCTTCATTCAGTGCATGAGTCATTGAATGATATTGTTTCTTTCATTCTACATTCAACTGTTTTAAAGCACTAAGAGTATGGCTTTCTAAGTCACAGTACTGTGTTTCAGTATTTTTCAATAAAAAAAAGGATGGTCCAGCTCTGAACTGATCTCAAAGATATTATAGTAAATATTTATTTTTCTATATGATATACATATACTTAGAGTTATCAACCTGCCATTACAATAAAAGTAATTTTTGAGATGAAGTAATTTCAGCATTTCTGCAAATAATACCTGAAAATAAAATAACATATATTAAGTTTTCTGTGGCTGCAAAAAAAGAAAAAAGTCCATTTCTCTGATCATAAAGGGCAAGAGATATAAATTGAACGTGAAAAAGCACTGTCAAATGCAAAGAAATCACCTGAAAATTGATGGGCAGTGAACTCTGCAAGCTTTATGACCAGCCTTCATATTTGTTTAGAGGAGATAGTTACAGACAGTGCTAGGACACTCTGTGTCTGCAGATTTCAGGATTAAATACTGGTTTTATGCCATCTGAACACATATCTGTCAGAGCAAGAAGTTAGGCAAAATGCAATTCTCTAATCCACATGAAAATGGTTCCTGCAGCCACAGCTTTGAGAACTTCCAGAGCACCTATGTTTTGAACCAAGATTTTGAAGTATATCCCAATAAGGCAGCTATCTTTACTTCAGGTATGCATCTCTATTTGCCCAAGGTTAAGGCTTTAAAAAAAAAAACAAACAAAAAAGCGTGGTTTGAACACTGTGCAAAGATATTTGAACTGGGCAGTCAATCAGCAATTTCACCTGCGCTGTGCATACTTAAGCAAGAGCTTCTTTTGATTGTTATAGGGTTTTAGTATCAAAATGTTCAAGGAAAAAATGCACAAAGATTCTTGAGTGCCTCTCTCTCCTTTGTGGTTTCAGCCTTTTAGTGCTCCCACTGCTGGAGGCAGACAAAAAGATGAATTTTATCTATTACGCTGAGATGTCTTTGAGAATGATTAAATCTTTAGTCTTCCTCCAGACCTGCAGGCAGAACACAGGTTTTCTGCTCATCAATACCCTGCCCTTTACAGACAGTGAAAGGACGTGTCAAGTTCTCCTTCACCAACGTGTCTAGAGCACATTGTAAAGCATTTGAGTTGCACTGTTTGTTAAGAGATGGAATATAAACTTCAGAAAAATGTGTGTCAGCAGCATTGCTACAAAGGACTGAATAATTCCCTCACTTGATGTGACAAACTGAGATACATCTCTGAATTTGTAAAATCAATTTTGTTTTGGTTGGCATGAATACAAGATGGGTGGGGGTGGATGACTTTAATTTTGTCCCAAGAAAGAAAGTATATCTTATAGAAAACTTACTTGGGGAAAAGGAGGAAAATAAGGCTTTTATAATTCTGAGCTTCCCTGGGGCTTAGTCAGGAAATCATGTCCTATCAACATTCACTGAATGCTGAGCATACCTGGCTTCTGGATACGTAATATATAAATTTGCAGACTGTCTTTTCAGTCCCATGACCAGTATCTAGGTCACTCTTTGCTAGGAATTAGAACTATATTCACATGGTTTAAGAAGGCTACCCATACTAAATTATTCATCCATATTAGAAGAATAGGTTTCATCAGCAGAAATTGCTGAAAAGCCAATGAAGAGTATACATGTGGAGAATATTCATGCCTGATTTCTCCTGATTTAATTATTCAAACGAAAATGAAACACTTTTTCTCCTTTCTTTATCACTGTTTAGGAAGCATGTTTGTTCTATGGAAGGGTCCTTTTTGAAAACAGAGTGGTCAATGCATTAGTCAGGTACTCTCCTTTTGAACAGAGACAAGGTCAAGCTTTGGTAACTGTTTGATCTGTTATGCTTTGGTCCCTGCCCTCACTCTCCCCACTCCCTTCAAATACCATACAATAGATTTATGTGCTTTGACAGGGGAGAATGACATTTGATTAACAAAATTGTTTACCAAATATACTCTTTTCCCTCTCTTTCCACATTTCTCAAGGCAGGGTGATTTGACACCAGGGGTCACCATGAACATGTGAACTCCAGAAAAACATGGTTTAATTTCCAGTGATTACAAAATCAAGGGTATGGTAGGCAGACTGTTTCTAAGAATGAATAATCCGACTGATTATCTGAAGATCCAGTACTGATGTGGTTCTTAAGAAATTGATTATGGTCTGAAAGTCTAGATATTCAGTTACACTAGAAGCTGTTACCCTCTAAAGTTGTATTAATCTACAGGTTATGTAATGATCATTCTCTTCACAGTAACCTATATAAGTACTGAACAAAAAACCCACCAGAAAAACAAGTTCACAGTTCTTTCTTTGTGCAAATAAGTGGAAAAAAACTGAACTCACTTGCAGGAAATTTTTGTGCGATCCACCACCATAGTCCACTGCTGCTGATTCGTAGAAACCTCAATGTAGTAGCTGTAACTCCGATCATCACAGTCCCAAAGTAGCAACCTAAGTATGAACAAGGTGTTGAATGATAAGTAAAACAAACATCAAACCAAGCTTCTTAAGTTTCCCAGTCCTTTATTTTCTCCACTTAATCCTTTATAAATGTAACCGTTTCTTTTGGAATGTACCTCTAGCACTCAGCAAACTTTACTGTTTCTGCCATCTCAAACTACTGTGTCTCTGTTCTTATTATCCTAAGGCCAGTAATAGGCTTGAAGGCTTATAATAACCATCTTAAGAACATTAATCTATTACATTCATCCAATTACTTTCAATTTAATTGGCATGTGGCATTGCCTGCTTTAAACACAAAATGAAGATCTGTCTCAACAGGTCAGTTTAGGAGGGGAGAGAAAAAAAGAATTGGGTGATTTAAAAGGATTAAGCTGTCTTCTTAACTGTATTCTCTTGGTTTTGGTAAATATATCATAAATATATCTAATCCCCCCCCCCAAATAATTAATATATTAATAAAAAGAGTAGGGAAATAGGAATTCCCAGTCCTGGTTCATCAGAATATGACAAAAAAAGGCAATGAATGAATTAAACAAATTGCTAAAAAGGTAAAAGAAAAAGGAAGACCAAAAAGGTCTCAAGGACTCATTCTATACTTATTCTAACAAACATGCAGTTCTTCAGGAAGGGCATTAAATAACATATTGAATAGCCTTTGATTTCCATACTTGTCTTACAGAGAGGAAGACATAAAGCATCAGGGATGTTATTTATCTTAGGTACCAAAACACACATCTGGCAAAGGTATCTTCTTTACTTTTCTTTATATGGGGATTATTGCCCTGTTGTAAGAGATATTTGGCCCAGAACTGGACACAGTACTTGAGGTGCAGCCTCACCAGTGATGAGTAGAGAGGCAAACAATTTAGTTCAGCACTTTTTTTTTTTTTAGGTTTTGAAATCCAAGCATTCAAAATGGAATTAGGTCTAGTAGACAAGCAGATTCAACATAAATTCCCTCGATGTTGAATCTAGCTCATTAATATTATCAAAAATAATATGTTGTCAAAAATAGCTTTAAGAAGCTAAAATAAACCACTTTTAACACAAGTGTTTTAGAACATGTTAATACTGTCTATTTGCAAATTAAAAGATTCAGACCTGACTTAGTAAAAAATAAAAATAGTTGCCTGTGGCACCATGAAAGGCTTCAAAAAAATTCCACACCCCAAAACAAAATCCCCCAACTTTAACCCCTCTCCTTCATCAAATCATCCCCATTCTGCTTTTCGATGGCTCAAAGGTCTCCAAATACTGAAGACACTGAATAAAGCGTATTTTCTTTAAAAAAAAGTTTACTGATTACAATCCTGTATTTGGTTAACTACTACTAATCAACAGATCCTGAATTGCTTTAACATTTATATTTAAACCAAGTCTTCTAAATGATAAAAAGAGGGAAAAGTAAAAACATTCATAAATTTGTTTTCTTTCAAAAAGGCTATTAAAATGTAGCTAATTATGCTTTTCAATAGAATCCTTTTATCATGGGGACTCAGTGTCGTTTCCTTGATCCTTGTTTTTCAAAGCTATGATCAAGAGTTTGAATATCAGAAGCACACTGCTGACTGTAATTACAACTAACAATACTCTAATTAAAACACAACTGGCTTGGCTTCAGAGCAAAAGGCTAACAGGACATGTGTGTTACTTTCAAACACACGTATAATTGCTCTCTCCCGAAACAACCTAGCCCAAGTTAAATAGGTTTAGAAAAGCATATGGCTTAGAATTATTACAAAGCAAACAATGAGTAATTAAAGTTGGAGGAATCTTTCCCAAAGTGACTTAGCATGAATAGTAAATGTAAATTTTTCTTTCTTTGGTGCTTGTAAAAGAAAATGAAAAGTTATTTCTTCTCCAGTAGCTTTTTTAGGAAAGACTGGGGAGGGAGACTGACAAAAGAACCTATTTGGAATTTACTCTGCTTGAAAGCCTTTCTGTATAAGCAGTGAAAACCTTTCAGGAGACAACATGAATATTCACCAGTGCACACTAGGAACAAAGGCCACTTTTTACGCCAGGTACAATAATATTTGCAATACATTCCAGGCAAATTACCAAGCTAAACTTTTGTAGAAAAGCTATGTTTTTCTAAAATGGATATTAAATGACAGGAAGAAGAATACTCCAGTCAAAAAGTCAGAACTATACCCATTGGAAATGCATCTGTTTATAGAAAAATTGCTCATGTTCTTAGGACTTTCCATATTAGAATAAAAAAGCTAAATTAGCTCATTAGTAAATCTTGCCCTCGGGATTAAGAAGGAAAAGTCAAATGAAGATTTATCCATCTTACACCCTGCAACATTGTGAGATTTAAACATATTTCTTCTTTGGGAATCTAGAGTCTAGGCCTGTAATTTAATATGACATCTTTATTTACATCACATGTTGACAATGCCTCACTTTATAGAACAAAAGCTTTTAAAATATAAATAAAACTTCATATTACAGGTGTGGGAAAGAGATTATATTGGCTACCTGTTACATAAAAAGATGCTGTAGCCCTTTTTAAAACAGTATATCCTTAAATGTCATGTGTTGCTCTATGACATTGTTCTGTGTTTCTACAAGCATTTTGTGCTGTCTCTGCTTGCTTTTTATTCCTGAATTTCTGTAAAAAAAGATTGTCACTGCTTAGTTCAGACTGCTGTATAACTACAGGTACTCAAGGTGTTAGCATAATACCAAACACTATTAGTTGTGCATCTGACAGGACAACACCTGTTTCCTGAACACTATTAAGTCACTATTTAAAGGTATGGCATAAATATTTGATCATACTTTGTTCATAAACCACTTGCATACCTTAGAAACCCAAAAGACAGAAATTAAAACATGAGGTAGCGACACTTCTTGAAAGATGAAGAAAAAGAAAGAAACCCCAAAACCACATAGGAGGAGTTTTCTTATACAATATTTGTGGCATTTTTGCCTCTGGATGTCTATAAACCTCTTCAGTTTTGTGCAGATATTTATGTTTCAGTAGTTATCCTGCAAGAAACCAGTCCTTCAGGATCTTACAGAGGAGATAAAATTCCTGCACATTTGCTAAGTGTTCCTATGATCATTCATTCTGAGTTATGATTTCACTCTCAAGTCAGACAAGCACAGAAAAGGAGCAACAAAGAAAGAAAAGCTTCCTAAGCAGAAGTGGTATGGAAAATTAGAAAGCATAAGAGATGTATATTATGATGGTACAAGCAAAAAATCACTGATATTGTTTGTTAATTTAAGAATTACTCTGAATATGAAAAGCTATCATGTATTCAACTTGGATAAGTAGTTAATGTACTTTTCTAAAGATGCAAAATACTTCAATTTTTTCAAACAAAAAAATCACTGTTACAGAATAATTCTGTCTCTCTCCACACTATAACAAATCCCATTTTATTTTTTGTTTTCCTTCTTTTTTTTGAAAATCATAGGAAAAATCAGGCAAAGACCGTAGCGTAATAGTATTATATTTCTATTCCAGATAAATGCAGGGAGAGTTAGACAGTTATTGTGATATGGCAGCCATTTCAATATTAAAATTTTAGTCATTAGTTAAAATATGTTTAGTATGTTGCACACAACAATCACTGTCTTTCTCTTCCTAATTAAATACTTTTTCTGTCATTGATAAGAAAGGGTCTTTTCAGAGAAGAAAAGAAGAAGGTTATTTTGTGTCCAGACAAGCAACTGTGCGGAAAAACTACCTAACCTAGCATTTTCTCTGTTAACTGTTCCAAATATCTTGTAAGCTGTTCTGAGTACTAATAAAATAATAAACCTCTTAAATTATTTTTTAAAAATTTTATAATCTAAAAGACAATATTTAGTTACAATTATTTTTTAAAAAAATCACATAATCCTAGAACAGTTTGGGTTGAAAGAGACCTTCAAAGGTCATCTAGTCCAACTTCCATGTTTTCCAGGTCTTCCCTATTACAAAATACTACTGAGCACTGACTGTCATTACATCTTTTCAGAATTTCTGAGTAAATTTTGATATGTAAGTCAAGAGCTCCAAATTTATATACAAATACCTGAAAAAGTATTCAATATTAACAAACTTTCAACACAGTCTCCCATAGCATTCCTGAGTCAAATTGAACAGAAGATACCATAAGTTGCCTATGTGCCTTCTCAGCAATGAAGCATGTGGAGCTGTAGCAACAGGAATTGTGAGCCAGCTAAACAGTGGAAAGAGATCATTGTCCTCTACTTGACACTTGTTAGATCATACCTGGCATTCTGAATCCCATTTTGGATCCAAATATAAGCGATAGATCTGAACAATTACAGCAGAGGACCATCAGAATGGCCATGAGGTTGGAGCACACACACTGTGCAAGAGGCTGGGGAAATTGGCTTGTTTAGCCTAAGAAGGCCTAGGGTTGGGAAGGAACCTGACAGCACTTGCCAATACCTAAGAGCAGGTTATCATGGGCTACCCAGAGAAGTTGTGTAATTTCCTTCCTTAGAGGTTTTCAAGACCTGAGTGCATAAAGCCCTGAGTAGTATGTTTTTTTTTCATAGATTACAATCCTTAGCAAAACAAGCTGGGCTAGATGTCTTCTTCCTCAAGTGCCTTCCAACGTGAAGAGTGCTAAGATTCTAGGACAATGAACGACTTTGGCAGAAAGCACGCACACAAATATATACTCTTGAAACATTAAACTCTCTGTGCATTTCTAAGGCATATTTGAGTGCCAAGAGTTCTTCTGGTTTTTCCATACTCAGAATTCAGTTGCCATGGTAACACATTCTGTCTTGGAGCCTCTCACCAGTGGTATTCTGATTTCCACAGACTAAAAGCAGAAACCACTCTGTTTTCAAAGGCTCATGCACTTACCCTCTCGGAAACAAATATATTCAATGGCACATTTGTGTTTCTGAACTAAAAAGAAATGTACTTTAGTTCCTAATTATTCATTTAGAATCCAAACCCACAGGCAGATTTCTGTCTCTAGACAATGCAGGTAGCCTCCTCTGTCAAAAGATATCCCAGATGATAACATCGTTGTTTTCTTAAAGTAAGCTATTCATCTGGTTTGTACTATACATGCAGGAAAACTGACAGAGAAAGTTGAGATTCTGATCTTGTAGTTGTACAATGCAATACTACATAAATCATTAAATGCCTATTAGTTTTAAATTGTGTAATGTTTGGGTTATTTTTTTTAATTTGCTCTACACCCTTGCTGATTATATAATTATCATTTCTTGGCAACCAAAAGTCTAATTCACCCAACTCACTATTTAATAATAAGACTTATTAAAAGTCTTCTCTTAAGAATAAACACTAGCATAGTATTGAATATAGGAAAGTCAGACTTTCTTCACTGACTGGAAAATATGATACAATTCACCAGTTGAAATGTAGCAGAAAACAGTAAGATAGGAAGACAGATTATGAACTGAGAAACTATGAATATTGGTTACTATATTCTCGTCTTACTCCTTCATGTGGTCAAAGCCTTTACTGCTACTTAAGTTTACAGTGGCAGGAAAATGATGTAAGTACGTTTCATTTATCTATTTTAAGAAATGTTAGTACTGCATTTTCCTGGTTTTCTAATTGAGATGCAATACTTAATTGAACGTTAAAAACATCAAACTGAAAGGCATAAAACACTGAGTCTGGAAAGTTTCCAAATACACTTATTCAACTTGTTTCAGCAAGAACAAAGCCAAACTTGGATTATGCATAACATCTATAGCTAGCACATAGATAAAACACTACTTTTGTTAGGTTACGGATTTGCCTGGATGTCTGATTTTAAACTTTATCTTACAAGTTTTACATCCACCATAACAATGCCACAGGCCAAACCCAAACCACACAAAACAGAAATTATGAAGTTACAAAAGAGCTTTCAAGTCTCACTTGGCTCATCAGTCAGTTTGAAGAGGCAGCTCTAACAGGCGGATCGCACTGAGCTCCTAATACGTACTTATGTGCGTGATTTCTTTTGCAAGCCATACTCACCTGGGGTTTCAACCTTTGCTCACTGGTACTCTGAACTTCAGAAATCTTTCCCTTTTTTTAATTGCCACAGAGCATACAAAATACACCCCTGACTACATATTCTAAATTTACAAAGAACATGATGTCATAAAGACAAGGTCGTGCATGCCTGATTTTATGAAACAAGAACCCCAAACACTCACAGTCAGAGAATCTGAAGTTTGCAAGATTATTTTTGTCTTCACTTGTGAAAAATCCCACTCTCCAATCTATTTCCTAAGTCTCTGTGTTAGCCAAAAGTTTGATCTTCATATGTATACAGACATTCACTGTAGAAAGAGCCCAATGAACTTCAATCCAAATCTAAATACATTCATTAATCCAGCACTGTAAAGGAATAGTCAGGTTACTGTACCTTTATTATACCCTTCATGTTCAAGTAAGAACTAGCACTAATTGTATAGTGAAAAGGAAATCTGGCTGACTGGAGGTGATGATTTTGTTCAATAAAATTGTTTTCACAATGAAGTGGATAAGAGGAATTGCACCTACTTAACCAAAAGCGAGACAGGAATTAAATTCTATTTTAAAATAAGTATATAACTTTAATCTTACAATTTGACTGTTACTATTATTATGCCTCTGTAATGCAACATTTTCAGGAATTGCACTGCTGTATCTCAGCAAATAATTCACACATTTAATTTTTTAACACGCCTATTATACTGAAGTAAGAAGCCAAATCACAACTACTAAACTAGTCCCCTAGTTGATGTTGTTTCCAAATGTCATCTATTCTATTAAAAGTTTCACTGCAGCCTTTAATTTTGAGAAAAATAAACCTTCTTACCGTATCGATCCAATCATGTAGGGCTGTGCTAGCTGTACTACAATAGCGCCGCTCCCAAGCTGATGGCATGTGTATCCAGAATCCCAATCATAGTTTTTTGTGTCTCCATTCAATAAGGCATTGCGACTGCGACTTACACCCTCAATCACACTGGCACAGTCTGCAATTGTTGCAACATTTTCAGTGGGAACTGTGAATTAAAAACATAAAGACGACAGAAATACTGTCAGAAACAGTTCAGATACCAGTGGACTTTATTGCTGGGAAAGGATTGGTTAAAAAAAAGAAAATTCAAAGTATGATCAACAGAAGGAAATTTAACTCATATAACATGAACTATGAACAAGTGGTACAGATAATTTTTACAGCATTGATCCCAGAATAGCTTGGTAAATTAACAGATGGATTTCAGTCTCGGTGATATGAAAGCGGTCTTTTAATACAATTGGGAAAAAACATCTTGTCCAGCAAAAGTTTAGACATTTTAAAAGAATTTCTTCCTGTTTTCATGATGAAACTTCCCTCTCTACTGCCAAAAGAACAAATGAATAGAGACAAAGAAAAAATTGAGATATAATTTAAAGCACTGATCTGGGCTGTAAGAAGTCAGGACTCAAATTCTTCAAAACTAGGGCTTGAAGTCTCACACCTCAGGAGACTATTCTCAACATGTACCTGTTGGTACCTCTGATAGTCTCTCTGACTGTGATGAGAAATTGCACCTCAAGCTTGAAAAATGAATTTTTTTTTTAATATTTATAAAATCCTTCAATATCAGTACTGGACTACAAGAGAAAAGAAGAGACCAATAGGTCTGTAAGACAATGGAACAGCAAATGCAGAAGTATTTCTCATTCAGCCAGGACACAGGAAAAATGTATGATTGAATGCCACAAAAAAAACTATAATATCCCAACAGAATATAAAATAAACCCATCCTCTTGAAAAAAGGAGGGCCAGAACACAGGATAATGATTTCCCTACAGGAAAGAGTGATGGAATTATACTCTCCCCATTAATGTCATCAAAGATCCTTGCTAGATAATTCTTTCTTCTATCCTATAAGCAGCCATGAAAAATGCCAGTATGCAGTACTGTTATGCCAAAGAAAGCTGAAGGCACTACTGCAAATATCAAATTTGCCCTCTTTCATTCACCTGATATGCAGTTACTGGAATATTATTACAGGGAAAACAAGCAAGTTAGGAAACTCAAAGAATTTTCAAATTAGTAAAAGCATTCCTGGGAAAATGGAAGGAGGAAGTTTCAGTAAAAAAAAAAAGGCAGATTACAATTCTAATTGCACAGGCCAGTGCTAAACTGCTACCTTATGCTGCAACATCTATAATGAACTCTTTCACCTCTACAACCCCTCTTGCAATCAGTGTACATATCCAACACTGTGGTCCATGTGTCAGCATCATCTAACTTCAGTTCTTCCTTCTCCCTAGCACATCCAGAACTGAACACTCTAGACTGGAAACTGCTGTTAGAAATCAAATTATATAAAAGGTGATATAACCTTTTACTAGGCATTTTTAAAAGTAGAGGAACAGAAGGTACTGGGCAATAAAAAAAAAATGTAGTGTTCAGAATTGTTATTCTTTAGCAAAGGATGTAACTTCAGTGTTGGTTTCTAGAGAACTTTCCAAGGAGAGGAATGCTCTTCTTATACTCACTTAGTCCTGCTTAATCTGATTTACATCCCATGCTAAGTAGTTTACTCCCTCCTTTCATATCAAACAGAATTCATCATATAGTTAGAACTTGACATAATTTCAGCAATTTCAAAGATCAAGACAACAGCAGCTCCTCTGGGAACACACTGTAAGAAGGAGGTATTCTTCCAGCAATGTTTTACAAGTGCTTCAATGCTTGTTTTTCAAATTACGTATTATTTCTCTTTGTTAACATTTGATCAAGTATGGCACTTTCCAACTGTAATTCAGAAAGAATCCTAAGGTTTTTGAATGTCACCTTCCAGCAGGATGACAGATAACATAAAACCCCCAAAACTACTGGGTTTATGTCCCAAGCTATATGCCCCAAATCACGTCCAGCACTTTCCTAAAAAGCTCAGTTTCTAGCTAACCTCCTCAGCTTCTAAAACTCTCTCTATTCCCTCTCTCAATCAAAAAATTAAAATTAATAAGGCTGAAAAATATGCCCTCTGAACATGTGAAAATCAAGATTGCCTGTTGAGCCTTTGTTTTTTGGAGAGAAAATGTTAGAAGCACTGATTGTTCATCTAAATGACAACAAGAACTCTTTCAGCACAGGCTGTATTAAAAAAGAATCCGAGATTTTGTGTATCATCCTCTGATAAAGGATAAACAACCTGTACCATTTTAAGCCTGCTGTACATGGATAACTTAATCACATACTTTTAATAGTTGTCTGTAAAACACGTATTAAAATACTACAACATCTGAAAATGACTGAAACATAGCTATGTGAAACTTCAGAGCTATTGTATGAGTCTCCAGCACGCAAAAAAGAGATAATTTTCCACAAAGAGCTGGGATTCCGTGTTTTAAGTGGGCTACTGGTGTCAGGAGAATAATTTTAGGACAACCACCAACGAACCAAAACACCGTAAAACACACCCTGGGAGGAAAAAGTGCAAACTTGTTGCCAAGTAATAAACCAAGGCAGTAGAAAAGCAACCATTTCTGAAAAATCTACTGTGCTATCAAATGTACTACCATCTCTGTTTGCTCATAAAAAAATTACTAAACCCAGCACATTATTATTCCAGAAATCTCTTGATTCCCCTATTACTGAAGAGAGGCATTCAACAATTCCCAGATTCTTGCAGGGGAGCAGGTGGCAGACATTAGAAGTACTTCACTGGGAACAATCTGAATAAAACAAAGACTAACAATGCAAACTAAAAGTACTAGCATTGAAATAAAGTTTGCCTTGACTTCCTTTTCTTACCCTCCTCTCCGGGAGTAAGGGAACTTCTTTGAGTATCCATTTTATATAGGCTTTAAAGCATCTTCTACATATGGCTGCTTTTCGTAGGAAGAGGAAGCTATTAAAATCTTGATTAAAAAAAAATGAGTAAAAGATGAAGTGTCAAAATCAGTGTTCATGTTGAAGTTCCATGGCACATTCCAGACACACTCCGAGCAATGTAAGACATTAACTGAATGCAGTGCAGCTCAGTTCATCCAGTATTTTGCCTGCATGCCCTCTGAGCATCATCCCGCTCCTTCTCACATCTAGATTTCTGCACTAATCCATGACTTCCTATGAAGATGTTACCCTGATTAGTCAAACTTCTTAACAACCACACAGAAATTCTCTTGGTGTGTTTTTAACATAATTCTGTGGTCTTCCCTACATCAGCTAATTAGAAAGTGACTCAAACTAATTGAAGTGTTCAGAATGTGCCATACTGTTTCTTTTCTCTAGGGGGTCTGCCACTCCCTATTTTGAATGTTCATTATCATCTTTTATATCCGCTTGATAAATTTATTAAAAATACCATCTGGTGGGGACTCTGTTCTGTGCTGTATTTTAAAGTCTTCTGGTTCTCTGTCTTTTTCCCGTTAGAATTTCTGCTTCAATTTAGGTCACTTGTTTACAAAAACATACTGCCAAAACCAACAGTCTTGTTTCTACGTTTTTTTTTTTAAATCCATCAGCTATCCAGCTTTTACAGTAACCAGTATCGTAAGAGAAAACAAAAGAGGAGATTACAAATATGGAAATTGCTTTTTTCCCCACTGTTTCAGCAGTTTTGCCCTGAAAAATCTGATTTGCTTTTATGGAACAGAAAAGATGCGTGTGAGTAAAGGATATACATTCTGTAAGCAAACAAAAGGAAAAGATGATTGAGGTTACAGGACAGCAGCAGCGAACATTTATTAAAACTTACTTTCTTGTCTCCTGGTCTTATGCTGTAGTATAGAGCGATGAGCATCTGGCAGTATATTTAATGCTAGTAATAGTATTTTTGTAGAGGACTGTAATTTTCAAGTCATGGCCTAAGGGTCATCTATACTGGTTATATTCAAAGATAAGATAGATATGTTATTCAACTGTCCTTAGAGATCCTGCACGATAAAATGTACCAGAAGTGTGTTGTAGTCTCAGTCATACTTACTTATCACTCCTTAAGCTTTTTGCTTTTTCTTTTTAGCATACTTGATTTTTCATAGGAATTTTTTTTTCCCTGAAGTACTGAGAAAAAAATTTAATGCAGCTGCTGCCAATTGGCTTCCACATCTGAGCGTAGGGTATTCCCTTTTATCTCCCATTCTGGACAGGTCAGCTTTTGCTTTCTGTCCATCCACTGTAACTGAACTACAAGCAATTGGCTAATGTGGGTGGGTGGGGAAATGACAGAAAATACTCAAATAACTTTTTGCAGTACAGGAAGAAACAGAACAAAGTGCGTTTCTGTACCAGCTCAAAAAACCAGCCATTAATGACCTTAAAACAACTACTAAAACAAGCAGGGAGACAGCAGATCTACTGTCTCTCTGTCTATTAGGAAAGGAACAGAGGAATAGGAAGGCAGCAATTTAAAGTATTACGGACTGTTGAATATATTTATACTGCACTCTAGCAACAGTCGAAGGTTCTCAGCTAAAGTATCATTGCAACTGCGATAGGTTAAAACGTCAGTAATGTCTTGAACATCGTCAAAATCCCAGAAAGACTTTTTGTCAAACTGCAAAGAAGCAACTGCCTGTCTGTGACCACCGAGGCACCCTCCCCTCCCAGTGTCTCCTGACTGGAATTTGGACTGTGACTGGGGACTTGAGCTAAGACTGCTGTCTAATCATCTCAAGTCTGAGGAGAAGTAAACCAGGCTCAGGACAGAAGAATGTATTTGTGTTAAGAATCAGCCCTAGTTGGTCTCAGGGGGTGGTGAAGAAGGGTTTTGGGTGTGTGATGGTGAAATCTCTCCACACCAAACCGAAGGAGTAAACGCCCCTGCTCTGGGAAGACCACGTACACATGGGACCCTCACATGTGAGTGAAAGGCAGCTGATAAGGGGTCATAAACCATCAAAGACCCTCAAAGCCACCCCCAACTATTCCTGAGGCCTCCTCTACCACCAGAGGAATGCACGTGAACCAAGTGAGGCAACAAATCCAGCACCTGTCCCAAAAGACTGCAAAGCTTCCTCCCCACCCCCAGGGGAGGTGCCCGGGCATCTCCTGAACGTATAT